ACATCGTTAAAATTTTCCCTATGAGAGTGACCGTGTTCATTATCTTATGCTAAGTTCTATTTCTCTCCTTGGAGATGTTCTTTATAGCCCAGTTATGAGCAAAAGGATGTTAGTGATGATGTGATAATAATGATAATAATGATGATGAAAATAGTAATAATGATGATATAATAGTAGTATGTAGTAGTAGTATAGTAGTAATAATGATAACAACAACAATAATGATAATAATAATAATAACAATAATAGTAATAATAATAATAATGATAACAACAACAATAATGGTAACATTAATAATGATCATAATAATAATGATAACACTGAAAATATAATGATAATGATAATGATAATAACAATGATATATAATATAATAATAATAATAATAATAATGACAATAATAAATAATAATAATAATAACAATAATAATGATGATGATTGATGATGATGATGATGATGATGATGATGATAATAAAATAACAATAATAATAATAATAATAATAATAATAATAATAATAATAATAATAATAATAATAATAATAATAATAATAATAATAATAACAATAATAATAATAATAACTACAACAACAACAATAATGATAATATTAATAATGATCCTAATAATAATGATAACAACGAAATTCCAAGGATAATGATAATAATAACAATGATGATAATAATAATGACAATGATAACAACCACAACAACATCAACAACAACAATAATAATAATAATAATAATAATAATAATAATAATAATAATAATAATATATAATAATTAATAATAATAATAATATAAATAATAATATAATAATAATAATAATAACATAATTATAATAATAATAAGGATGATGATGATGATGATAATAATAATAAATAATAATAATAATAATAATAACAATAATAATGATGATAATTGATGATGATGATGATAATAATAAAATAATAATAATAATAATAATAATAATAATAATAATAATAATAATAATAATAATAATAATAATAATAATAATAATAATAATAATAATAATGATAATAATAATAATAATAATAATAAAATAATAATAATAACAATAAAAATATCAACAATACTAATAACAATCATAAAGATAATATCAATTACAATAACAATAAAAATAATTATAACAATTACAATAACAATTATAATGACAATGAAAATAATAATAACAATAATAATAATAATAATACACAACACTTGTAGATTATGTTTTCCTCTTACTGACCTTGAGTTCCTCCTCGATGCACTGACCTCGAAGCTTCTGTCGTCTTAATACTTCCAGACGGACTCTTATATCTTCTCGAAACATGCGCACTGCAATGATTAAGGCGTTGATTAAAGTGTTATTCATCTGTGTTATAGTATAACCTTCAGTTCATTTTATATTCGTTTTTGGTTGAGGGTAAAATTATATTATAGTATACCCTTCAATGCATTTTCTATTCGTTTTAGGGTGAGGGTAAAATTATAGTATAGTTTACCCTTTACTCCATTTTCTATGAGTTTTACGGTGAGGGTAAAAAGATTCCTAATTCCTTTAAATTCGTGTCTCGTATCCGTTTCATAATTAAGAAATCATAACATGTATTTAAATATATAAAAAATACTTTTCGTCTGGATTTTCCTTCCTCTTCTGCTATAACCGTTTCCTTACTATAATTTCCTAGTGTGAAAAATTATTCATCAAAATGGAATCGTAAGATTTACAGTACAGAGCCCTATTTTCTATAATTGAGTTTCTCCCTTAAATTATCGTTTTAAGAATATCACCTCTAATCATTAAATAGACATCTTAACCCCATTAGAAATCTCACATGTGTTAATTTACGTACATTTCTGTCCCCTAGAGGTGCTGTCACACTAGCACTTTTTCCGTCAATTTTTTGACAATTCTATTTAACATAAATACAAACAATCTCGAATATAACTCTTGATTTGACTTTGCTTGGCTGAAAAAGTTTACGGAAAGGTTTTCAGACGGAAACGATCATTATCGTCTGACCGGAAAATCGACAATTCGCTCAAAAATGGGGAAAAATCTGAAAAAAATTGACGGAAAAACTGCTAGTGTGACAGCACCTTAAATTATCTATCAACACATCTTACCATCTCACTTATAACCCCATGTTACCACCAACGCAGCATTCTCACCCACAAAAGTTCGGAAAGATATAAATGTATTCTGAAGACATTTCTCATTCATTTTCTACATCTGTCAACATGAATACGGTTCATACCCCCCCTCCCCCCCACCTGAACAGTTGTCTGAACCACCTACCTGAGAGGCGTGTCAAGGGGGCTTCCAACTTCCTCACCACGCCCACCACAAGCCTCGCGATGGCTGCCAGTGTCTCTAGGGCTTCGTCGCTGAGCTCTGGAATAGTATAAGAGGGGTTGTTCTGGCTTCTATTTTATTTTCGCTTGCTTATTCAGTTTTCTATATTTTTTCTGTTGTTTTAGATCTCTCTTTCGCTATTTCTCTCTT